TTTTAGAAAAACTAATTATTCAGGTAAATTTATTTTTCAGTTTAGCTTTTTTTACTGAATGTGTACTAAATAAGAACAATAATTTTGAAAACCACAATTTCCCGGAAACAAATACCATATGAACGAAAAAATGAACAAATGACAGGTTTAAATACTGTAAAATTTTGATTTTATTAACCAAAAAAATATGTCTTACCAGATTACCACTTTTTTGTCATAATTAATTTTTTACCAGGTAATTATACAATATTTTATTTCACTGTGTATGTAAGACAGAGAAAAAATGATTTTATATAAACAATGTTTTGTTTACAATTTTACATGAGCAATATTTATATAAAATTGTGAACAAAAATAAAATACCTATTTGTTTTAGATTTCAAGAGTGATTTCGAAGTTATTTCTGAAGACTTCCCGATAAGAAAATGGAATTTTAAAAAAAATATTAATTCATCGCCATGTTTAAATGTTTCTAAAAGATTATACTTATAGTGTGCATAATATAATTCCCAAGTTGGGGAGAATAATTTAAGTTGCTTTTAATGTTTATTGTACTTTTTCTCTTTCAGTTTAAGTTTTCGCGTTAAAATTGCTTTAAAATAAAACATATTGAAATGAAAGCGCATAACTTCTGTAAACAAAGAATCACGTTCTTTATATTAAAGATCAAAACAAACGAAACATCAAAATGAATTTCTCGATTTCGAAGAGATCGATTTGGAGGAGATTAGAAATAATGAAATGCATACAGTTAACACAATAAATTTTCTATAATTTTAAAACTGCAAAATATAAAAATATAAATATAAAAATATATAAAGATAAAGTATAAAAAGACAAAATTTAAAAAGATAATATAGGAATTATTATCTTCTTAAAACTAAGCTTATATATCTACACTGAGGAAAAAAGTATGGTCAAAACTATCAGAATATACATAAAATTTACCGTGTTTCTGGCTCCAAGGGAAAACCAAAAAAGCTAGGTAGTTTTTACCGAAGTGCTTTGGTAAGGATTTGGATAGAATAAACAATAAAATAGGGTTTCATAATGTTTGATAAAATTTGGTCAGTATGGTAAAATATTGCAATTTTGCGATGATAACTAAGATGACTTACAAGCTATTTATTCGGTTACTAGTGGGCTGCGCCCCCTGCTCGCTAACTCTCGCCAACCCACGAAAATTGCTACGCAATCTTATATGGTTTGCTTTGCGTACCAAGATCGCTTCGCTCGCTACTAACTTAGGTACATTGCAAATGCACACAATTCTAAGAATTCAAAACAATCATTCAAATCCATATAAAAAAATTATTTCTTTTTAGTAAATACTAAGTCATTAAAATAAATTTGAATTCAAATAAATGACATGTAATTCGTTAAACCTATTAGAAATGTGCTATGGTATAATTCGTGATGTAAATCAAAAATCGTCAAATAAATTCGTAATGTATAAATTCGTGAAAAAAAGCGCTTTCGACAAAATACTAAAATAGAGATCTATCGACAAAGACTACTCACTTCTGCCTAGCTTAATAGTATGAGATTGCCGCAGCTGATGCTCTCTGGTTATTTCAGTTTCCGTTTTTAAAAGCGCTATATGTTGAGTCACCTCAGATAGATTTGGCATGTGACATTTTTAGCGGCAATCATGGGTCGATTCGCCGTGTAACAGAAATAGTAGCGTAAGCAAAACAAAGCAAACGTTGCCACCGGCGGAAAAGAAATACAGCCAAAATTTGGGAGCCACGTAAGAGAATTATATATATTAGATATTTAGATCTATTGGTAAAAAGAAGTGATTTTTCTAAGTAATCATTTTTTTAAAATAACATTTATATTGTTATAACGTTATATTGTTGAAACAAATTTGATGAGTTCACATACTTAATTTAATATTTTCGCTTACCAAACGGAAGGATAGATTAACAACTTTTTTGTTGTTGCCTGCATCTCATTGTGCATGTAGCTGATCGTTAAGTTCTAAATCATTTAACAGATCTCTTTAACTGTAATTTATAACAGTATATTAATGTTATTTGCTCAAAAATAATAATTGTTAGACCACCTTTCTAAATAACTTTATCTTAAAATGTAAGGCAGATTTACATTATAATACTAATAAGAAAACAGCAATTCTCTTAGTTTTAAACTCTTGAATTAAAAGCGTAATAATAGCAGTACAGGAAAATAACTTTAAGTTAGGGATTCAAAAATATTTAAAGAAAAGCATGACTTTTATTAATTTTATGCTGACTACAACCAAAACAATAAGGAGACGAATGAGGAAAAACTGGATCACACCACGTGATTTTCTGGCCAATAAAAATGCACCGACAACAATGGAAAACTGCGACACCATCATTAGAATTTTATGTATAGTAAGAAATTGCTTTTACTTTAGTTTGTATTTTTTACTAAATATATGTGATAAAAATAACTATAACTTCATATATAATAAGAACTATAATTAAAAACATAACTTCCGGTGAACCGTTACAATACAAAGAGAAAAATTATCAATTGAATGGTTAAAATTCCGTATGTTGGTTTTAGCGACCAGAATTATGTTTTATTTTATTTTATTTTACCAGAAATGTCATAACCATGCAGTACATTAATTTTATCGTAATTGCTTTTTACGTCTACCATTGAATGATTGATTAGTGTGAAATTTATGAGGGTTTTGAATGATTTATGAGTACGAAATTTATTAATGTATTAAATGATTCATAAATATGAAATTTATGAGGGAATTGAATGATTCATAAATGGGAAGTTTATGAGTAATTTGCTTTTATTATGAATTTATGAGTGTTTTGATACTATAATTTTACTAACCGAAATGATATATTTTTTTCCTCAATAAATGCTATTACTTAACAGTATGGTAATTAAATAATAATTGTTTTCACTGTGCATATATAAAATATTTATATAAAACTCTTAACAAAAATACAATTTCCATATCTTTTAGATTTCCACACTGATTTCGAAGTAATTTTTGTGTACTTCTCGATAAGAAAATGGAATTATAAAAAGAAATAGTATTTCATCTCCATATTTAAATGCTTCTAAGAGATTATGCTTTTTAAATACTTTTAGTGTACATAATAAAATTTCCAAGTTGGGAGGAAAAATTTAAGGTGCTTTAATGTTTATAATACTTAGTTACTTTCAGTTTCAGTTTGCTCTTTAAAGTGCCTCAAAATACAATATATTTTAAGTGCAAAACTTCTGTAAACAAACAATCTTGTTCTTTAGATTAAAACAAGCGCTGCATCAGAATGAGTTTCTTGATTTGTAAGAGTTCCGTTTGCACTCCTAAAATTTTTTATTCGGCAAAACTAAAGCGGCAAAGTAAATTGATTTTATGCAATGCAATAACTTTGACTAATGCGAAGTCTCTCTGGTGTTAGCGAAATCTATTATTTCACCTTTTCACGAGAAAATATTTTAACATTTCTTTTATCATTTTGTATTAAAATTTCTATGCTTAAGGAAACCCAATTTAAATTGAAATATTGCTATAGAATAAGCTTATTTAAATTTACAATTTTAATTTTGTTTTATAAATCAGTACATGCTTTGAGAGATTAGATTCTTATTAAAAATATAAAAACGGATTTAAAAGAGGAAAAGCTATTTATGTCTGAAACTCTTTGTTAAGAGTCAGTCTTTTTCGAAAAAATATTATAAAATTTCCTTTTTTAATTTATATTATAGCTTCTTTGTTCAAGAAAACCAAATTTAAATTAAAGAAATATTATTGAAAAAGTATCTTTAAAATTACGGATTTTATTCTTGCTTATCGGTGTATGAATTTTTGGGAGGTTACATTTTAATAAAAAAAAGTTTTAATACTTAAAGAAATAGACTTAACTAAAACTAATTAATCAGATAAATCTAAAGTAGTCTTATTTTAGAGAAAATGCTTTAACATTTTCTTTATTATTATCTATGAAGGTTTCGATGTGTAAGTTAAATTTCAGTGTGAGTTCAATTTTAAGTGAAGGAAAGCAGTACATTAATTTTAAGAAAAGCATTTTAAAATTTATACATTTCATTTTTCTTTTATAAAGGGTATATGGTTTGAAAGATTATATTTTCATTAAAAATATTTTAGCAGATTAAACAGAGGAATAAATATTTAATACTAAAACGTATTAATAAGAGAAAATTAATTCCGTCGTTTTAGCGCTTCCTTTACTATTTTATATGAAAATTTCTAAGTGGGGGAAAAATTATAAAAACGAAATTTTAAAAATTATAACTTTTATTTTTTTATGTAAATCGGTAAATGTTCTGTAAGATTATATTTTTACTCAAAGTATTAAAGGATTAAAGCGATAAAAAACATTTACGACTGGAATATATTTATACAAGGAAACTGCTATTCCAACGTTTATTTATAATATTTAATTTTAAGTATTAGATTTCTTGTTTTTTTTAATCCAACTTTATAAGTTTTTTGGCTAATTTAAGCACTCAAAATAGTCAGATAATTCAAAAGGAAGAAATATTTAGAATTATTTTGATATAATTTATAAACAGATGAACTAGTAGAGTTCTTTTTTTTATCTAAATTGGTTAAATAACTAAAGTTAGATACAAAAATTCTAATAAATACGAAAAATAAACCTACAATTTGACTCTTAAAAAAAAACAACGTAACGCGTGGGTCAGAAAATCAAGTTCGACATACGCGCGTGGCGCTACTTGCAGGTATCTAATTAAATCTGATAAAAAAATTGATTCAGAATGATCATAAACCCAAGACTTAAAGCAGCAATGTTAACACGCCATGCACAACCACGTGATTAGACACAACTATGCGATCAGTTGCAAGTACGCAATTAAGCGAAAATAATTGAACATGCCCGAAAAAAGTTTCGATGAAAAACTTGCTAGAATAAGTTAGTTTTTTTTCCTTCTGTACTTTTTGTACGGTTAGAAAATGATTAAAAGTAATGAAATGTTTCTTAAATTCTTTATTGAAACAGTGTTCTATTTTTAAATAGTGATCTAAATTAAATAGTGCAGAAAAAAATAATTTATCTAGCATGGTGTTATTTTTTCTTCAGATAACAGCTGTCAAAATTGCCTCTGAGAACTATTCATAATCTTCCTCCCCTTCAGCCACCATTACTTCAATTTTATCAACAACTTGCTCTTCAAGATCTTTTACCGCATCATCATCAAGTGTGTATCTCTTCATGAATTCAGACACTGAAGGATATGCTTTCTTCAGTTCTTCTTTTTCATCAAGAATTTCTGGCTCTTCAGTTTCCTCGACTTCGCTTGCTTGATCCGCACTGGCTAAAACATCAGGCGAATCCGCCTCTCTTCGTCGACGACCGGTAAACTGAGGTTGAGCTTGCCGAACTTGCTGTAAGCAAACAGGCTTATATTAATTTGAATAACATATCTCATTATAGAAAGCGTGGAAGGGGATTTCCCCCGTAGGTAGGGAATTTACTGCAATCAAGCGAACACTCTAATTACTTAACTTTAGTTTTAACGTACATAGTCATAATATTTTATAATGATAGCAATGCAAATCCTCTTAATTGGAGAAAAAAGAGGAAAAATCAATCTTTGCATTTTTATCAGGACTAAAAGAAATGATTTTTTTTTAAATTTCAAGTTTTAAAGTTCGGCTATAGATTGTACTGTTAGCCAATGAAAATGAGAAGGAGAATGATTTAGTACAAAATAATGATTTTTGAGAGAAATCACCATTCTCAGAAACAATGGGAAGCAGTTAGGTGACAAAATTTATCCTTTGCTTACTTCTGATAAAATAAATGGACCAGAATGTCTGCATCATGCTAAACGCCGTAAGCAAGAGGTTAATAGAATAGATGCTGATGTAGATATTTCAATAGAAATGGTCAGTAAAAATATTGTTTTACTGTTTTTATGATAGCAGCATTATCTATTGACACCTGCTGATATGTGGTCTAGATGATTTAACTAACATTAAAAAAATACAAATAAACAAGTTATTGGTTGAGTTCTTTGGCTTGGAGTTTGGAGCGAGCACCAAAATGTTGTAAAACTGCAGTTCGAAATCCGTCAATTTAGCTTAACAAGTTTTAATCTTAAGAGAGGCGCAGAGATATTTCATCTTTTGTTTTTGTTACAAACAAACGGTTTTGAATTGAATTAAATATTATATAATTGTATTTTTTCAGAATGATTTTCTACTAACATTTTAAATTTTAATATTTTAGAATAAAGAATACTGTTCTAACCTTGTGCCGGCTACGGTTTTAACAATAACTTTTGAATCAAAATAAAATTCATATGAAATATACATTTACAAATTGAAAATCTGATTGGTACGTTTTAAGTAGAACGACCAATCTAGATCCAGTTAAAATATTCCCTTAAATTCTTAAAAATACGAATTAAATTATAACATTTTAAAGAATTTTAGCTTTAGTTGATATAATTTATTTTCCGACAAAATTGCTTGAAATATTATTAAAAGAATTATTGTTAGATAAAGAATAATGATGTTACGTAGAAACTATGAGTTACATAGCTCGAAAAGTTGGCTGTCAAACGGGGGAAACATTTCAAAAGTTGAAGGGGTTCGGAGCGTGCTCCAAAAGCTTCGTATCGTAGAACTCATCAACTTATGAACAAAAATATCGCTAGTAACAATAAATTTTTAAATTGATGTTACCTGTAAGCAATTAGAGATAATGCATACAGCTTCAGTTGATGTAATGTTACTCATCAATGCTGACGTCTAAAATGGAAAAACAAAAGCTTAATAACATTAATTATCAAACACATAAAATAATATTTTTATGTAAACTGTAAAGAAGGCACAGAAATTTTAATACATGCATGCATGCATATATATAAGTTCAAAATAAAGATAAAACAAAGAAAATTATAGACATATGAAAAAATGGGGGGGGGAATAATAGGTAAAAAACTTATTGTTTTTCTTAACTTTCTTCATGTTTTCTTGTATTTATTTATTATACCGAGTGACCAAATTATTATGACCACCTGACAGTTTTATGCAAAATGAGCAATTGTGTCACAGTGTAGCCGCTAGAGAGCGAGATATCTGCTAAAAGAGCATGCAATGCAAGTGAACCACTGTGTTATGCCCGGAGATGTAGGCAAAAACGTAACTTAACTGAGTTTGAATGCGGAATGATTGTAGGTGCTTGAAGCGTCGGAATCAGTATCAGCAAAACTGTTGCTCTTGTACAGTGTTCGAGAGCAGCAATTGTTAGTATGTACAGAGAGTGGACTACCAAACAGAAAACTGGGTCTCAACATTCAGCTTGTGGTCGTCACCAGCTATTGAATGTTCGAGCTGGAAGGAGACTTGCTGGAGTTGTCCAGTCTAACTGAAGAGCAACCGAATGTCAAGTAGTAGGGAATCTTAATGAAGGTGAAACAGCGAAAGTCGCCGAACGAACTGTGCGCCACAAATTGCACCGTATAAACTATGGGAGCCGAAGACCTGTTCAAAAGCTTCAGCTGTCAGCCCTGAACAAGAGCAGACATCACCAGTTTGCAAAGGATTGGACTGTAGATGACTGGAAAAGGATCACGTGGTCTGACGAATCACATTTTCAATTACACCATGCTGATGGCAGGATTCGGATATGGCGAACGCAGCACGAAAGCATGGATCCAACACTTCAACACCAAGTGCATTGACCCAACACTTCACGCTCATGGAAGCAATGTTATGGTTTTGGGGGATGTTTTCTTGGAAATGAATTCTATCAGAACCACATATTATTTTGTAGTTTATTTTATGTGAAGGAATAAAAAAGGAATTCTATCAGAACAACATATTATTTTGTAGTTTATTTTATGTGAAGGAATAAAAAAAGAATTCTATCAGAAC